TGCTCCCTGCGGCAATCCCCGAGCTGGAGCCTTTCATAGGAGGGCCGCTGGAGGAGGCGGAGGGCAGCGGGGGACCAGGGGATGTTGACGGGGGCCGCTCTGGGGGAACGGACAGGCACTCTGGGCTGAACGTGGAGGTGGAGAAAAGGCGTTTTATCTGGGTTCATCAGGCTGTGCTGATCTGAGCTCTGGAGCTGAAGCAGAAAGGGGCCCTCTACCACAGGGGCCAGTACGCTCTCGTCCAGGTCATAGGTGGTCCAGCCGTCGGGGCTGAGCACTGCGGGAGCCCGGGCCGCCTGGAGTCGCCGCTGCCCCGAGGTGAGCATGAACAGCGGCGAGGCGTTCACTGTTGGGCCGGCGTAGAACCAGAAGTGAGCAGACGATACTACGGTGTCCTGGAAGGGAATGGACGGCTGGAAGCGATACGACGGTGTACTGCTGCAGTTTCCTCTCCATTCTGCATCAGCTAGGATCCAGGAGGGATCTGTTGGAGGAACGGAGGGAAGAAATGAAATAAATATCAGGCTTTTACTGACATCTGGTGGCCTGGGGTGGCATAAAAGGTCTAAATACAAATCAGGCCTGTCTGAAAGGTTAATTCTGTCTACAAACATGGGAATATATCCGCTTTTCTGCTGAGACTTGATAGAAATGAACATAAAGTCACTGGATACATGCAGCTGCCCACATGAACAAGCTCAAAGCCTTCTGGAAAAAGGAAAAACGGATCACTAAACACCAAGTGATATGAATTTATACCCAATGTTTATATCTGATGAAGCACAACCATGACATCACAGAAAATCTGTGAAGTTAGCTGATATATGTATTGATGGAGGTGACTGGCTGTGTGGGTAGAGTAGTTGTCTCGTGATCTCAAGGTTGTATGTTCAATTCTCTTGGACAAGGCACTTAACCCCAAATTGCCTACCGATTTGCATATTGGTGTATAAATTTGGAAAAGCTCTATATAAGTTCAGTCCATTTAACATTATTTTCTTCTGCATCTTAAAACTTCTAATGTTTAATTCTAAACTCAACATTTGAGCTGGTAAATTCATTCTAATAGAACATAAAGAATTATCACCTGGACTTGGAAACAGAATCACTTCGGATCTGTCTTGACCCAGGCTGCGTTGCTGACTGACCCGTACCGCTCTGCTAGTCCTTGGAACCCTCGCCTGCCACTGCCTTGCCTCTGGCTTTGCTCCTTCCCGATTTGCTCTCTGTGCAGCAAGTACCGGAGGCTCCAACAGGCCCAGACCTTCCAGAACCCGCTCTCTGAACCAGGACACCACCACCCCTCTGGGCAGCTTCTCCGTGCTACAGACCTGGAGCAGACCTTGGATCCAAAGAGTCCCCAGAATGAGGACAGACCAGGACACCATGTTGAATATGTAAGACCGTCTCTGTTCACACGCTGTTGTTTGGGCTCCGCTGCTATCTGTCTGCAGGCAGGAGCTTTCTGTCGCTAAACAATAGCAAAGAGTGGCCTTGAGCGTTGAGAGGTTACACTATATTTGCTTTTCAGCTGAGTTACTTTTTTAGATGCCTTCATCATCCTTTTACTGTATATTAGTAAGATTATTGCTTTAAGCATACATTTGATCACTTTTTAAAAGGTTAAAAAAAGAGATCCTATATAGGTATTGTACAAAGGTTTTTCATTTTATTATCAGCTTTTTGAAATTCAGATTTCTTGCAATCTAGTTCAGGAAACAATCTGCTGATGGAACATATATTGTTTTTTGAACGTGGAATTACTATTTTAACATAATTTGCATACAAATTACAAAAACTATCTGAGGCAAAGTTCAAATATATGGAAATACTGGAAATAAGAGCTGTGAGTAAAAATGCCTTTTGATGTGAGAATTACCTATGTTGCTGAACAGCGACCTTTGTGGTCATATTTGACCATATTCTTCCTTGACCTTGACCTTTCACACAGATCAGAAAATAATGCTATATATATATATATATATATATATATATATATATATATATATATATATATATATATATATATATAGATAGATAGATAGATAGATAGATAGATAGATAGATAGATAGAGAGAGAGAGAGACCGACCAAAGACTACCTGATAAAGTGACATGGTTTTGTTTTATATTCTACATTTACTTAATTTTGTGAGAGGGTTTTTGTTTGCTTTTTTACTTGGTGACGTTTCAGCCAAGCTTAAACTGTCATTGGAGGTTGGGAACCAAATGAAGGTAATGTACATTTGAAGTTTTGAAATAAATTGACTGATAAATGTGAGCAGCATGCCTGTGGCACCTTTGTTTGTGGATGAGTATAATGCCAGACTGCAATAGGTGATGTATTCCGCCCATCATATCCACACTCAACTGGATGACAAACGCTCCTGGCTGTGTTTATACTACTGCACCTTTTCTGTATTTTTACAGGTTAGTGGTCAACCAAACACTCAAAAATGTTCCTTCAAAATGTAGTTAAACTGTGCGAATGCTAGAAAAAAAAATCATAATATGATTTATAAACAGTTTTTTTTTTTTTTTTTTACGTTTAAAAGAGTCTGTTTCACTCCGCCACTCTCGGCAGCGTAGTGCACGCTCGTGAGTCCGCCGGTAGAGGTGGGTCATTTGCATTGTCTTGAAGGCAGGTCGCCAGGTTAAACTGTGGAACAGATTGGTTTCCCCCACACTTGCAGAAGTTTGTGAAGCTATGTTATGTGTTTTATTCAGTGTGATAAATAATTGCAAATGAATAAGTGTTAAGGAAAAGTATTTTTCCAAAGCATGTTAATTTGTCTAAGGTCAATTATTTAAAGTAAGGTCTGCAGATTATTTTGTTTATTCCCAGAGTGAAAGTAAAACCCAGATTTAAGTCTTGAAGTCCTTAAACATTACAATTTAATAAATTGTTCATATTGAGTACAGTCTGAGTCTACTGTAGTTTACGCTTTGTCAGCATTGTAGTCTAATGTCTTATATATTCAGTGTTTGATATTGGAAAGAATGTGGTACAAGATACAAATGTGGATGTTATTAATAGGTTTATTTGAAGACACTGGAATGCCTGGACATGGACATTTTAAAACACTCATGTTTCAGTTATAAGAGACTAAAGTATAGGAATTGGAGCTCAGGGAATTGTTTGTATAAAATAAGTTTTTGCGAAATAAAGAGATGCAAATGCTACACATTGACGTCACTGGTGCTGTGCCTTTTCTGTATTTTTACAGACTTTTTTACAAAAATTGTTGCAGTGGTACTGATCCTGGAACCCGAAACATAATACATCATCACACCAACACCCACAACAACCTCTCCCCCCCACTTGACAACTTTGTAGAAGGATCTGGGGGGTGCCAGAAAGGTGGTTCGCCCAGGGCACCAAATAGGCTAGGACTGGATCTGGGTGGGTATGCTAATGGCTAAAATTACAGTAATTTATGGTTAAGGTCCAACAAAATTACATGGGTTTTTCCAAATTAAAAAAAAATATATAGTACTCTAAAAACTACTAGCCCCCATAAAGTCCAAAGACACATCAAGTCATTGTGATTTTATTATTGTTATCAATTATTATCAAGTGACTTTGGCTGTGGAAACTGAGCATAGTATAACTAACCAGAGGATATTTATTCTCAAGAATTGTTGCATTGAAAACTATCGGAAATGCAATTTTTAACATAATTAAAACATTCCTTTATGTTGAAATTTCATTTTGAACTTCAAGCCAACAATTATTTATTCTGTTTACCCACCAGATGGTGCTATTTTGTTCCTGTTCAGAGTGTGCAATATTTCTCACCGTTTACTTTTCTGTAAAGGTTCTTCACTACTGCAATAAATGTGTAATTCTGAATAAAGCTGTGTGTATGTGTGCAAGCTAAGTTTTTGTAAATTTTATTATTATTTTTTAGTTATTCACAAAAGTAGTGAGGATATGTTCACATACTTTTAAAGGGTTGAAATCACTTAAACATACAGTTTATACATATAGTTCATACTTTACAAAGTTCGGTCTTTCAGACCGAAGTATAAAGTGGGGAAAAATACCTTTAACACATTTACTGAGAAGGTGATGTTTTGTCTATAGACACTTACCGGTAAGTGTGATTTTTCTTCATTTTAATATCTGATGATGGAAAAATAATCCAACAAGATAACTAATAATAGTAGTTCAAACACTAAAAAATATTGAATATCCATCCATCCATCCATCCATCCATCCAGTTTCTTCCGCTTATCCGGGGTCGGGTCGCGGGGGCAGCAGCTTCAGAAGTGAGGACCAGACTATATTGAAATATTGCTTGAAAAATATTTCAAATTACATTATTGAAGTTTGTGGTTAGAATGCAATGAAATGAGAAAAAGTTCCAGTACCTGCTAATAATGGCTGTATCACACATTATTAGGGGCTGTCAACTTGCGTATCAAACTCGAAATTACAAAATTAATGGCAAGGAGGGAAGAAACAATCTTAAGTTAAGTTGTATCATTGTCCTACAGGATGAATCCCAAAGTCCTGTCTTTATTCTTAGGTTTTCTTTTTATAGAAACTCCAACTGACCCCCATTGACTGTCTCCGCCTTCCACACACACACAAACCCCACATGTACTGTACATTGCCTGATAGTATTATCTAAAGGGCTTGGAAGTGTGTGTACGTGAGCGTGCGTGTGTGCTTGTGTGTGTGTATGAGTGTGAGAATAGGTCATAAAAGGCAGTCCAAGAAATGTGACCTATATGTGCAGCTGTCGCCCCCAACCTGACAGAGGTTGGTGGGGAAGAAGCAGTAACACTGGAGGTAGACGGTTAACATGAGCTTATTTAACTACCTGGAAGCCTAAAAATATTAAAAGTGTCGCTTTCAGGAAGCACTTAAAGGTGGAACAACATAAAACAGAAGGCCTGGGCAGACTGACATTTAAGAAAATGATCTCAGTCCCTTTCTGGGAGTTCGTCAGCAGGGTTAAAGCTGCTGAAGGGAACCATGGCAGTGGCTGCTAATGCTTCATGATCTAGGGTGGACTTACACCTAAAGTCTGGGCTTGCTGAAGGACAAATGGTTTGAGATGAAATATTTGGCTCCATGGATCTTGTTACCCTAACTTGGACTTTGTGGGGATGTCTAAAGGTATTTCTTACAGCCTTTGTAGCAAAACTAAGGTAAGATTACTTTTTGATTACTATATTAGTAGAATGAGCAGAGCAAAGAACTAAAATGGCATTATCTTTTAAACATGTCCCTATGATTTGCTAATAGCTCTTTATATAGTATATTCAGTTGTTTACCTTGTGTTCTTCATTTTGACACAAACATATGATGGTTAATCTAAGGCTGCAAATAAAATAAATTTACTTCTATCAAGATATGTTTGTTGTAAACTATCACAGCAAAGACTAAATGGGTTTCCAGTTTCCTCTCACCAAACAAGTTTATGTTAAAGGTTAAAAGGTTGAAAATCCACCTGTCAGGAGCTTGGACACCAGTCAGGCAATGTCTATTTGCAGTTTGCTACAGATCCTGTGCTGAAAGCCTGGAGGATGTTTGGAAAATGCAGAATGAAGATTAAATCACAGGTTCAGTGAGATGAGCTTACTGTACAGGGGTTTGTATTCAATTGTAGACCATTTTATAATTTCCTCTTTAGTTTGTGAGTTTACGGTGCTGCTGTTGTAAAAGCAAGTTGGCTAACAGTAGCAAGTTGGGTAACAGTAGCAAGTTAGCTACAAGGCAAAAAGCATCCTTTATGTTATGTAAATGTCTAATGTCAAATCAGATAACACAACCTGCTTGCAGCTACTATTTCTAGCCGCATATTATTAACAGATTAAAACACACCTGGTTAGCGAAAATGTCAACATTAGCTAATCTGCTCACATTAGCATGTTGTCTTACAAGTTCACTATTATTTAATAACTCAATGTATGAGGCTAAAAGCATCATATATCCTAAAGCCAGTATGAACAATTCATTTGAATTCTCTTTGAAGTCTGTTTCTCGAAATTCTGTGTTAAGTAAAGTAGAAGTTTACAAAGATGCTGCCAATGTCAGAAGGGCTAACACAAGGTGCTTGCTGCTATTATTTCTAGCTACAGAATAACAAATTTAAAAAATAGGTAACCCTTACTAAAATGTCAACATTATCTAACCTTTTTACATTAGCATGTTGGCTGAAGTAAGTTGGCTTGTATTTACATACTCCATGTACAAGCTAAAAGCATCTTATATCCAAAAACTAGCAAAAATATCCACATTAGTTATCTAACATTATCATGTTGGCTATCCATAGCAACTTGCTAAGTATTTACATATTACATTTTCAGTGCTAATAGCATTTTACAACACTAGCAAGCTGTCTAGTTATTCAAACCTTTAGCCTCACCTAAAAGTGAGGCTAAAGTCATGTTGCATGCTAAAATTACCTAAAATGTCTACGTTAGCATGCTGGGTAAAATAAGTATTTCCTAATGAAATCAGGAAAATAAAAAAAAAATTGAGTAACAAAAAATGTATTTGTTAAAAAAAAGTAAAATATAACTGGGTTTCTCTTATTTCTAGGATACTAAGAAAGTTGAGTCAGACAAAAAAAAAAATCTACCAAACACAAACTTCCTTAGTTCACTTATAAGGGATTTTGATTGTCAGCTCACTAATTTAGACTGCTTGAGTAACCAGACTTAGTTGATAAGTAATGTTGCTTTATTACACAGTAAAACCTGTGTATGTGTATTTTGGTCATTGCAGCTACCGGTGTGTTGGTCCATGTTGAACACCTATAAAGACAAGCAGATGTCTAAAGCAGTGAAGTCTTTCAGAGGAGATGTTTAATAAATGCAGCTCATTTTGACACCTCTCTCAATAATCAGAGAAGTGGGAAAGTTTGGAAGGAAGTTCCAAGGGGAATCAAAATGGCAGCCCGCTCACAGTCGAGTCCCTGTCCCACCATCCTCTCCATGAAGGCCAAAACCAAAGGCGCACAAAATCTCCAGAATCAAGAAGGTGAATCTCAAGAAACCTCAGCTCCATTTTTCATCCGCAAGCTCCGTAAGGCTGCAGTGGGAACAGGTTGTGATATCCGTCTCAGGGTGTCGGTGTCAGGACATCCTAAACCTTCAATGACATGGTACCACAACGATGAGCTGATCTCCCCCTCAGAAGCTCAGGATTCAGGAGGACTGTGGATCCGGGACTCCCACACCAACGATGCTGGCATGTACACCTGCGTGGCATCCAATGACCTGGGAGAGGCAAGCTGTAGTGCAGTGTTGGCTGTTATGGACCTAGGTGAAGGTAAACACTTTTTATTCTTAAGTAACAAATATTCCATAAAGATCTTTTTTTGAAAATAATCTGAAATAATTTGAAAGCAGACCTGGGTAAAGCAAAAGATAATTTAAGAGTGGATTTTAAGCTTCAACATATTCAAACATTTTCGGTAAATGGTTCTGATTAGATGTTTGTTGTTCCTTCCCTTTACCTGCACAGCTGTAACTCTTTGGCCACTAACTATATTTTTGATTTCTATATACAGCAAATAGATTCCATGATATCTGCCTGATTCTTTCAAACACTTCAAAACTTGGAGTCTGCAGCTGGTTTAGTGTTTCTGTAAATCAACACTTGCTCTTTGGTGGGTACTTTACCGGAAAACTTTAGACATTTCAGGTCAGATTCAATATGCCAATTTTTGCATCAGATGAAAACAAGCTCAAGATAGCAGGTTGGTGGTTTCAAATTCCACATGTAAAACATAAACTCACAAAGTTTTCAGTGGATTGGAAAATAGTTCATGCACCTCCAGGGTGGATGAAGAGCAAAGTCTAATGCTAAGAGTTTGGCAGATTTGCCATTGTGTGCATAATATGCAGTCATGATATCATTTTGGATTGTTAGCCACTTACAGATATTTGCTCATTTGAAAATGAGGAAAAGTCAAGTTCCATGTTTTTTTGGAGGGTTTTTGTCTTAATTTGGTTGTGCCTCTGAAACTGGGTCTTATTTTGATGCTGATCATGCAATGATATTCCTATTTCTGGCAATATTCAAAATTTTAATTAAAACTTCATTGACAACACTGATGTACTTTAGGAACCTATATTTAATGAAGGATAATCTGGTATTTATTTTATAAATACATACCGTTGACCGCCGCCTATTTATGGTCAAGTTTTTGCAGATTTGTTTGTGGAACATAACTGTAAATTATTTGTGTAAATTGTATTTATTCACAGATGCTGCTTGGGAAGCTCAGATACGGAGGTGGAATGCTATTTGACACAGTTGCTTTTTGCAGAGCAGCCAATCCAGAAATGGCATTTATTTTCTTTGCCACTGATTGGCTATACCCTCTTTAGTGGAGATATTATCTTCTGTGGTAGTGCCAAGATAGTTTCCACTGTGTGTATTAATGCATACTCAGGTGTCGTTGATGATTGATATTAGCGTTCTTAGAGGGCATCTCAAATATATGTGGATTTTACCTATTTGTGGATGGCTGTGGTTGTTGACCAGAATAAATAACGGAAGACTACTGTAAATGTTAGAGGCTTTAAATGATCGAAATTAAAAAAAAAAAAAGGTCAAATTGTTTCATGATTTGTGGAACACGTTGATAAATCCCAAATATTATTATAATATAAATATTATATAAATTAATATTGCAAAAACAGCTAATGAAAAAAGTCTTAAATTTTTTTAAAGATTTCAGTCTGGAAAAGTGACAGTACACAAATAGTTATGAAGAAGGGATGATCTGGAACCTCACTGACTCACAGCCTCTTTGCATCATCATTTAGAGATCTATGTGTTAAACATTGATCTGGTTTCCTATGAAATCATGTTTTTATTGGACACACTGAGGAAGCCATATCATCTGTGGCTCTGCCAGTAAGAGCTGACACACACGGTCCAACTGGTCTACCACTCAACACCTCCACCTCTTTCGCTCTCATTTGACTCATTTGGATTTGGTACTAATAACCACCCCTTACATTCTGTCTTTAGTTGCCATTTTTAAGTACAGTACAGTATTTACACTCTTTTTTCTTTTGCATTTTGTCAAACAACAACTCCAAAGTATTTTATCGTAGAGACTTCAATAAGAGTCAAAATGCTCAAAGTATTTTGAGCATTTTGACAATCACAGATTGACAGACTGTGGCAATCTTTGTCACAGATTGTCAATTAGGTTTATGCCTGGACTTTGACTAGGCCATTTTATGAGATTTTCTTTCAGAAATACCGTATATGATGCACATTCCATCTTCTCATTAACTCAAACCAGCTTCCTTATGCTGAAGAAAATCATCTCCACAGCATGAGCCTGCCACCACCATGTTTATCTATGTGGATAAAATGGAGCGTTTGCCAATAAAAGTGTGTTTTGCTACATTGTGTTTGTCTGTCAAATGAAATCCTAATTTAATATAACTTAAATCTGAGTTCGATTCTCTCAAAGGCAGTTTATTATATCTGTCCATTTTCACTTGTTGCTCTGAGCATTTTGGACTAAACTCTGTCTTTTAATTTAACAGTTGGGGGACAGCTAAATCAATTTCCAAGAGTTTAGCTGTTTTCCTATCATTCCAACCCCTGCCTGCCTCGTCTCCTCCCTCTTCTCCTTCTGCCTGTGGTTATTTATAGCCTGGTATGTGCAGTGGCAGCTCCCGACGCTTGTGCTGTGGTGATATGTGTGGCCGCTGCCGTCCCCCGCTTCTCCTATGGCACGGAGGGACATAATTATAGCGCCGTCGCCGTCACACTCCGTCACGATCAGCGTGATGAAAAAGAGACCGTGATGTTTGTTAGTGTATCTGCTGGGCTCGGGTTTGAACGGCCGAGCTTCGCTCACCGAGTCAGACCAATCAGAAGCCAGACAACTGTTTGATGAAGTTGCGAGTTGTCTCCAAGGGTTTTAATCTTAGGTTACATTTTATCTTACGATTACTGTTGGAAAAACTGGCCTGTGAGATTTGGGAAGTTTCTGTATTCTTGTTTAAAAATCATGGTTTGAAAAATGAATCCAATCATTCCTAAAAGACCTGCTGACTTAGTTTGAGGATGGATGAGAGCTCATCTGCAGTCTGGAAATGTCTGGGTGCTATTTTTTAGATATTTAGACTTTCTTCCATTGCTCTTAACCTTTCTCTTTCTGTCCTGATCTTTATTTTTCACCCTCAAGTCCTTTCTTCATTATTTAATTCCCTTCCTATTTCTTCGTGTCCTTCAATCCTCAAGCCATTCATGCTCTTCCTTCTGTTCTTGTAACTTCCTTGAGTTCTTCTTACTGTCTTCACTTTCATCCTTCAGTAGGAGAGAATCTTCCTTGATTCTCTCCTACTGCCTTCTCTCCTATTCTCTCCTTTTCTTCCTTGATTCTCTCCTACTGCCTTCTCTTGCGTCAAAGCAAACTTTGCTTTTGTGAATATGGGAGATACATATTTAAAGTAAAAATAAAAAAATACTTATACAGTACATATTTTTAGAGAACTGCAAGTAAATGTAATTGAAACAATTTGGAATTGACAAAAGAAAGCTGAGAATGGGACTGGGTACATGTGATATTAGTTTACGCTGTCTTAACTACAGCAGTGTTAGAATCCCGACCATGCTTTTGCCTTTTCACTCACCATTGGATTTGAACTTGAGTCTTAAGTCTATTTTCTGTCCATTTCAAAATAAGATGTGTGAATTCTTGAAGGGTGGCAGAGAGGGCTTGTTTCTGATGTGTACAAGTCAGTAGGTTTCAGTGTATCAACTTTTTATTCTAGTAGCCATCTCTGACAGCGGCCTGAGGAAAGTTCCCGCTCTCCTCACATTTAGCTGTAGATGTTTGAGGGGTTTATTGGCTGTGCAATCCATAGTATCTCAAGGAGATCAAGAACTGTCCGCTAACTGGGATCAGGACTTTTAATTTCTTCATTTTCAGCCAGTCTTTTGTGGATTTACTGGTATCATCTGGTTCACGGTCATGTTGAACGGTCCAGTTCTGCTTCAGCTTTTACTTTCTCGTATGAAACGGAAGATTGATGTGTCACCACACATTCTACTGTGAATCCTCAAGATCACATAGTAATCTCTTTTTGTTAGTCTACTTGATTGGTTGCTGTCCAATCATTTGAGATGTGAAGAATGTGCCACTTGTAATTAAACCATGACTCTTCCAGCTCTATGCTTCACAGTTGGCTTGAGGCTTATGAATATCTAAGCTTTATACTGAATTATCACTCATGTGTTTCTCAATGTATCAAGACACCTCTTCATTTTAGAACATTGTTTTTTTTTGTTTTTTTTATATTAAAAATCTAGAAAATTAACATGCTCCCCAATAAAACAATTTAATTTTATGAAAACCTTGTTGCTGCAGTAACTCTTTTAGTAGAACAAATATGATCCCAATTATTTTTGGTTAATATAGAAATCTAAGAAAATAGAATATTTTATTTGAGGATTACTCATTTGCTCTGTAAGCAGTCACAGTTAGAAAACAAAATAAGAAAAAGTGGCCCATCTTTACTCTAATTGTATAGTTTTAATTAAATAGTAATTTTGATCATCAAACAGATGGTGTTCATTTACATTTCATTTATTTTTCAGACAGAACTATTGTGAATATTAGTTTTAATTCAACCACTTATCACAGATGTGTTCATGAACTGCTCTAAGGGTTCTGTGGCACTCTTAATTTCTCTCAGCTTTCAGCTAAGGATGACAGCAAACGGTTGGTGGGTCTAATCTGTGTGTGGGTGGGGGTGTGCAGAGGAAGAGTTCAGCTGGAGGGGTTGTACTACGTCAGACCTGAAAAAGACCGCTAACGCTGGCTGTGAGAGATGGGACTTCAGGTGAGGGCAAGAAAGGAAGTCATGGAGGACAGCTTAAAGGAAAAAAGGCTTTGAAGTGATTTTTAAAGGAAGTCACCAACTTATGTGGAAGTAACCACATAATGGTTATATTGGCAAGAAGGAGACAGAAGGTTTTGTCCTGTATGAGAAAAAGATGAGTCATGTTGCGGAAGGAGCTGCTAGATGCACGGAGGTCTTTGAGGATCGCTAGTGAAGGCTTGAGTGGGCCAAGAAACAAGAAACAGAGAGGTGAGTGGGATAGCAGTCAGTTATTACCTCAGTGTTTTGGTTACTGGATACTATTTCAAAATCTATTTACTTGTGAACTTTTGGAGCAATGAAAACAACTTGGAAATTCAGTCTATCTATTGTCCAAATTTTATTCAGGAAACACTATTTGTAGCTAGCAACAGCAGCACTTGAATGTGAATGTAAGTATCTCCCTTCAAT